TCATTAGACCACACCCCTTCTCATTACAGAGATGCACATCACCTAATATGCTTAATTGGTAGTAGGCTTTCGAGCCTATGCAGCTTGGAGTAAGACAACATGCATGAAGAGGATGATGTGGACAAAATACTCATTTGCCTAATAATTCTGCACTCCCTGTATAAACCCAAGTTAAACGTTAATTCCTTACTCTTCTCCACATTAAGCATGCCAGGAAAACTTTCACATTACAAGGCAGCTATGCTATGCAGTTGTTCATTTGTGTATGTCCTGAGTCTTTTGCCAATTTCTCCAGATAAATGGGCACAGAAGACGTGACACAAAGGGTGGAGGAAGAAAGAGAGAGGGAGCGTTAGAGGGGAAAGAATAGGCAGTGGATCATCTCCTCCTTCCCATGTGTCATCCCTTGCTCTGGGCTGCGCTTTCGTCACAGGCTGTAGATATAGATAGAGAGGTGAACAATATATGTGGGATGAATAAAGACAGATTGAAGCAGAAGGACTATAAAATACAGACAGGAAGAGGTTTAAAGCCAGACGTACAAAGAGAATACAGGCAGGCTTATGGACTTTGATTTGCTGCCTGGCTTGGTCTAAATGTTTTTGTTCATTATTGTTTCAGTCTTTTATATTTTATCTTCAGAACCTAAAGCTAACAATATCACAGCCACAAAAACTATGCAGTAGATATTGATTTCTGTGAATTAAACTTTGACAGTCCAGTGGTTTAAACCTTAATGATGGTTAAACGGCATATTCTATTTGATATTATGACTCAGACTCTGGAATTCAAGTTCCAGTTTTAGATTCCTTTATCTAGATTACAACATAAAACCAGTACCGGTAATATTAAAAACTGAACTAGCACACATAAAAAAGCAATAAATCAAAGTGTTAATGTCTATAGCTTCTGTTCCTTGTAGGACATCAATGAGGTAAAACACATACTGTATATTGTGGGTTATCACACCCCTGCATGCCCTGGCCAAAGACACCTGTATCCACACCTTTAAGGCAGATGATGTGATGACATATGCACAGCTCTTCCCACACTTACACAACCCTGTCATCGCAGTCATCCCTCAGTTTTGTAGCTGCCCTTCACTGAGCTATGCTACACAGAGGAGTATCCTGAAAGTCTACCTCATTCTGCTCCTTGAGGGAACAGAAGTTACAGACATCACACTTTGTTCCCTTTCAGTCATTTTACTTGGTACAACACATATAGTGTGGGAAATATATACAGGCCCCGGAAAGCAGCCACCAGACCTAAGTGGGACCTAGTGCATTGTAGACTAAGCAGAAAGGACAAAATAAGGTAATGAAGGAGCGATCACTTCTAAGTGATAGAATTGAAGTGATGTTTGCAGTGATGACCAACTAGCTGCAGCATAAATATCATCCACAATGACCCCTTTAAAAAGAGCCCCTGAATTTCCCAATTCTCATTCATTACCTCATATTCAATTCAGCGTTATTTATTTAGCCCCAAATCATCAGTCACCTCAAGGTGTATTCTATTATAAGACCGGGCAACATAACAGAATAAATACCTAAAATAATACAATAATAATAAATAAAATGTGCTCTCACACCCAGAGGCAAAGAGAGACTCTTGGAGCGTTATGCCAGTAAGCCTTCATAATCCACTGGGAGAGCTTCTGTTTAGACAGAGCTCTACTACTGGCTGGATTAGCAAAGCAGGCAATCAACTGGTCAGATAAACACACATTCTGAGTGCAGTCAATGTATATATTCAGTACTCACACCAGACACAGAAAAAGCAGCCTCCTCTGCTCCTCAGAAGCCAAAGGAAGGAGGCAGAAACTCAGAAGCTCAAATTTCAGAGAGCTACAAGCCACAGGAATAACCTTAGGTAAATGTTACATTCATACATAGTATAACTCTGAGGCCAACAGAAAACTGTGTTCAAGAAGGCAAAGCATGATTGTCACCCACTGGCTTTGTAGAACCCAAAGCAAGAAGCAACGTAGTCTTATATGAAAGGAACTTCATATATACAGACTTAAAGATTCAGTTGGTGCACTGTATACCTGCTGTGACCCCCATTAAAGCAATTATGATTAGCACATATAGATGTCAAAAAAATGTAATGATAGAAAAGGTAAGACCTTTATCCAGCAGTCCCTGCAGGAATTTTAAAACATCCACAATAGAGCACTGGAATGGGAGAATGCGTCGGTTCTGGCTCCATTGCTCAAAGTTCTGTTGTTTGTATGCATACAAGCCTCTAGTATATGAAGCTCCAGCACTCTAAATTTTTGCCACCACATGTGGGTGAAGACCTGGTTACCAAGTTTGACCTCTCAACAGGCAAGTATGCAGCTGCCATAGTTCTGAGCATGGATGAATCACCTCCCCTCCCACCTGAGAGAGGAGGTCCTGCAGAGAGGACGGCCTCACTGCCAACACACTGATTATCTCTGCATACCACAGCTTTGCTGGTCACCAAGGGGCCACTAGAATCTGAGAGAGGCACTGCTGAGACACTCTTTCTTGAATTACTGGTATCATTTCCTTTGGGGGAAAGGCATACAGGAACATGTCAAGGAACATGCGCTATCGCATTCATCCCCAGAGGTGCAATAATAGTTGGTTATGGAGAAGTAGGGGCAGTGAGCAAAGCAAAAAGATCTACTTCCACTACACCAAAAAGATCCTGCGAGATATCCCATACCACATGTGTTCTACTGAGTGACTCAGCTGGAAGAGAACATTCCCTTTGCTTGTTGAACTACATACAAGGGTTTGGCTAATACAGCCTAATTTGTTTTACATGACCTCTAGCTTATTATTAGCCAATGTTAAGCTGCTGTCAGTCAGCTGATTGAATTTACAACTTTGTCTTTATTTTAGCATCTGTGTCACATTTTGTTTTAGTAGTTAACATAAATTCTTGTTCTGTGAGAGGTAGCAAGAATGAAAGGAAAGCCCATAAAGTTGATTCTGTTCATCTGGACGTAATTTTTTCAGTGGGAAAAATGTTTCCTCGCACATCCAAGTGATTCTTGCTTCCCTGGCTGCTGTATCCGTGGGGATTGTGTTCACTCTGTGTTGTATAGCCCTGATGACACCCAGTTTGTGCTCCAGTGGATGATAATGATCAAATCTTACATACTGGTATGTGTTGGTTTACAGTAAACATGATCATCCAGAATCAGTTTTGGGGGATTTCCTTACCTGGATGATTGAGCATGCATCAACACAATGAAAGGAAAGATTTGTAAGAGGGTACTGAGACCTAGTATGATGTATGTTTTGGAGATGGTGACATTAATAAAAAGACAGGAGGCAGAGATAGAGATGGTAGAATATATTAAGATTGTCATTCGGGGTGACCTTCTAGGGATAGGATGAGATGATCTGCTGCGGTAACCCCTATAGCAGGTGTAGGGGAACTCCAGGCCTCGACAGCCAGTGTCCTGCAGGTTTTAGATGTGTCCTTGACCCAACACAGCTAATTTAAATGGTTAAATTACCTCCTCAACATGTCTTGAAGTTCTCCAGAGGCCAAGTAATGAACCGGCCCTTGAGGGCTGGAGTTCCCCCACCCCTGCCCTAGAGGGAGCAGCTGACAGAAGATTAAGCAGTAGTTACATATATACCACATTTTTTTTCAAAATGACTTGCATCATGTTCAAAGATTTCTTTAAAAGGGCAACAGAAATAACTTTTTGCAAAATTAACCCAAGCTATGAAAAATCTATCTCATTCTGTCAGGTACGTGGAATCAAAGGAGTCTTCTTGGCAAACCAGAAAATTGATGGAAGAGTGGCAACTGTAATAACTTACAACAAAGGACGTGACTGGGAACCCTTGGCCCCACCTACCACTGACATGAATGGCAAACCTGTCAGTTGCAAAGCGGTAAGCATCCATCTAACCAAACTAGTCTGTACTCAATACAGATTTTTACAGAGTACGTTAGTACTGCACATAGTCATGCATATTGTACATAGTAGTAGTAGACACTTGGCTTAGACTTTGTATCTATAAACTGAAGTGCAGATGCAATCTTGCACAAGCAGCAATCAATCAGACTGTCCAGACCTGTTGACTAGGTTGTTCAGAGTGTAAGCATAAAGTAAGCGAAGGAAGGATGAGTGTTGTACATTGAAGGATGTGTTTGAGATGCCCTCCTAGCTTTGCCATCCATCTTGTCAAAGTTGCTGCTGCAGGGGTAGGCTAGTCAGCAAAGAGCAATGAGTCACGCAGTCTGATATCCATACATCATACCTCGCAGGGAGATAGAGGGGGTGTGAGTCTGTTCTTTTATTTGAACCATCGCTTCAGTCAGCTGACACATCTGGAGGTAGGACACAGATATCAGTTTGAGACTCATTTACCATCTCTGAGCCGTGGTTGGTCGCTCTGATATTGACCTCTCTTCCCTTTAGCCTCTTCCATACCTCAACAGAATTACCTTGCCTGGATTCCACTTATTACATCTATCAGTCAGAGAGGCGGCTTTATTTCAAAAGCTGACATCACATGTATTGCCTCACTGACATCACAACTCACAGAGATAGACAAAGCCAGATAGCAGATGTACTATCTACTATCTATATGTCAGTGTAACAGGCACGTGCTGTCAGCTGTAGCCATTACCTGACAGAGACTGGTTAAGAGAAATGACCTCTATACACAGGAGAGGTTTATCGTTTCGGAATGCGGTGTGTTGTAGTTTGCGTGCTCCACGAAGCACCACAAAGAAATGTGCAGATGCTAAAAGATTTTTATATATTTACTGAGCAATTCTGCACAAAGCACATATAGCCAGACACTGGCAAAATTACATAGGATATAAAAGGTTAATTTGTTCCCATTCTTAAACCCCATTCCTATAAAACTCCTACCATTAATGATTGCATCGATCTTAAATGTGATCAGTGTAACATGCTACATGCCACAGGCTTTTAAGGTGGCAAAAATTAAACCATTACTTAAAAAACCAGCACTTGCTGTTTTAGTTAATTATAGGCCAATCGCCAGCCTTCTTTTTATTTCAGAAATTCTTGAAAGAGTAGTTGTAAAACAGCTAGTTGTAGGTACAGTTGGTACAGGTAAAGTCAGACACACTAACATTTTTTAAAACAGTGTTTAGACAAACAGCACTACACCTCTGATGGTACTTAACTTACACTGCTGAAGAATATGTCCTGTGCTACCTAACCAACAATTTGTCTTCACTGCTTTGGAATCTATGAGAAAGCATACTGAAAACCCTATTTTGGAATGAGCCAAAGTGATGTAATATACTGTTTGTAATTCATAAAACAGAGATGCATCTTGGTGAGTAATGATCTGATGCAACCAACAAGTCTTCAGGTTCTTATAGATCAAACTTGCTTTCCAGCTTTTTGCAAACACTGGTTTTTGATATATTATCAGAAACAGTTCATGACAATCTTTTGTGCAAAACAATACATTTCTATTGAAACTGCAGTCAACATCCTCGGCATTAGGGTTTGAAGCAACAAGTGGAAATGTAATTCATAAAATGCCTAACGTTTGCACTGGTGACTCTCCACTCTGATTCTCATATTTGAAATGAATTATCATTCATTAAATATCTGTCACAAATACAGTTTGATTAACAGAACTAAAACCCTTTTGAACTGCGATTAGTTTGCAGTGGGATAATCAGGTATCTGTTGTAAGACTCATTAAATATTGCTGAGCGAGTGCTCCGGTATTCAGTAGACCCACTATTTTACTCTAAGTACTTTGGGCCACATTGAACATTGTTTTGGTGGGTGGATCTGAGTGCTTCCTAAGTTCTTTCTACATGTGTCTCCTCTGCAGCCGGACTGTCACCTCCACCTCCACTTGCGCTGGGCAGACAACCCCTATGTGTCTGGGACTGTCCACACCAAAGACTCTGCTCCCGGTCTTATTATGGGTGCTGGTAAGTAAACCTATTTTTATTTATGTAATTTTTTATGAGCTTCCTCCACTTGTTTTCACTTTATGTAACTTGTTTCTTGAATTTTCTAGAGGGGTTGGCTGTGTCTTTGTAGATTTAGAGAAAGTGTATGATAGGGTGCTGAGAGGAAGTTGGGATTTGCAGAGAAGTATGTGAGGGTGGTGCAGGAGATGTATGAGGACAGCAAAACAATGGCAAAATGTGTCATAGGAATTACAGAGGGGTTCAAGGTGGCTGTGGTATTAAATCCAGGATCAGCTGTGTCCCCCTTCTTGCTTTCTGTGGTGATTGAGGTCTGAGTCAGGTTGGGGTCTGGCAGGAGTCTCTGTGGACTACGATGTTTGCAGACAACATTTTGATCTATAGTGAGAGTAGGGAGCAGGTTTTCATTGAGAGTAACCAGGATAAACAAGATTAGAAATGAGTACCGTATTTTCCGGACTACAAAGCGCACCTGAATATTAGCTGCACAAGCTAAAATCAGGGGAAAATTCTGTTTTGTACATACATTAGCCGCACCTGACTGAAAGGCGCAGGTGTTTTAATGTTTACCTACCATATGTAAGAGAATATGCACAAAGGGGATTATCAGGAAAGAGATGGCTGTTTGGGAACACATCCCTTTGATTAATATATACAAGTACACGTAATTACAAGTACGAAACATGTACTGTGCTTTATAAACGAGTAACAAATGTAGTGTATAACAATGACCTACAGCACACCAGAAAAATAGATTCGGCCTACCTTTTAGGCTCAGGTGCAGTGACACAGCTTTAACAAGAAGAAAAGTCAGTCATTCACCACCATCTTTCTCTTCTTCCTGCGCACTAAAACCAACAAAGTCCTCTTCTCCAGTGTCGGAAACAAACAGGCTCAGGATGGCTTCGTCATCCACTCTCAGCTTCTCTCCTTCGTTGTCACTTTCAAAACCAAAGAAATCCTCGTTGTCAGTGTCAGAGTTGAACACCCTCTGAAGGGCCATGGCGGTGTCCCCCTCTCCATCACGCAGCAGTCCAGCCCTTCAAAATCTGTTGGTGATCGTGGATGTTTTCACACTTCTCCATGCTGTCAGAATCCACTGACAGCCTTGGGCAAAACTTGCTCTTCGCATGCAACCAGTTTTGGTGAATGATTTATCGCCGCTCATCATCCACGCCTCCCACTGAACGCGTAGTGCTACTTTGAAGGCACAATTCACACTTATGTCGAGTGGCTGCAGGTGCTTCATTGTGCCTCCAGGAATCACAGCTGGAATCGAGTTTGTGCTCTTAATGGCTGCTTTCACAGAATCTGTGATATGGGCCCTCATGCTGTCCAAAACAAGCAACGCTTTTTTTGGGGGAAGGAATCCTCCAGGTCGCTTCCCATAGCACTCTTGCAGCCACTCCTTCATTACGCTTTCCACCATCCACCCTTTCTTGTTGACTTTAGCAGAGATCTTTTCTATTGGCATAGTCATTCGCTTAAAAATCACCATTGGCGGAAGTTTAAACCCTGATGCTGTGCAGACCAGCACACAAATGAAATTTGTTCTCTCATGGCCAGTGGTTCTCACCGTGATGGTTGATCACCTTGCTTATTAACAGGTCAAACGTCAACGGCACTTCCATCCATGTTTATGATCTCATCCGGTCCGATGGAATACATTTGTTTTTATTTCTTAGTGTGAATTTGCAGAAGTTTGTTATTTTCTCTGCGTAGTCGGAAGGGAGTTGCTGACACACCGTCATCCGTGCCCTGATGGACAGTCCTTTTCGTTTCATAAATCTGTGACACCAGGATGGCCCACCTCTGAAATTTTCTATCTTCATTTCGTTGGCGACTGTTTTGGCTTTTAATCAGATCTGCACAGTTGAAACACCTCGCCCGTTTGCTCTCTGTGTGTTCATCCAGTCTTCAAGTTTAAACCATCTGCTCTTATTTCCTCTGAAAGCTTTTTTCGTCTTTTTGGACTGAGCTAGTTTGTTACGCTGGCGTCTCCAGCGTCTCACCATTGATTCATTTATACCAAGGGTACGTGCAGCAGCTCTATTTCCCTCGCTGAGAGCCTTGCTAATCAAGTTTGTTTTTCGCGCTACTTCATACGGCACTACGTTGCCTGGCGGATGGACATGTGACCAGTGTACCACTCTTGTACCCTTGTACTCTTGTGTGTCTGATCACATGCCCTTCCGCCAGGCAACGTAGTGCCATACAACAGCGGAACAACCAAAACAATCGTCTTACGATATCACAAAAATCATGGACGATCCATAGAAAAGCCGCACCTGACTAAAAGCCGCAGGGTTCAAAGCTTGTGCAAAAAGTAGCGCCTTATAGCCCGAAACTTACGGTATATCAGAGTAGATCGGTGTATCAGAGGGACAGCTCAGGTTGACAAAGACAGAGAGCCAAGGCTGAGATGGTTTGGACATGTGCAGAGGAAGGATAGTGGATATACTGGATAAAGAATATTAAATATGGCTCTGCCAGGCAGGAGGAAGAGAAGAAGATCAAAAGAGAAGATTTGCTGATGCTGTGATGGAGGACATGCAAAGGGCTGGTGTGAATGAGGAGGATGGGTAGAGTGACATGGAAGCAGTACAGCAGCAAGCCCCTAATATACAGTGAGATGGAAAAGTCTATCCATGCCATCCATCCAATGAAATAGTCTTGAGTCTTCATTTGCCAATGTAGCGATCTATTGAAACCTGTACAAATACAATATCATGTAAATATAATTTAAAAGGCAGAGTTTGTACAATTTTGTCTAGCTTGAAAGTCAAGATTCGAGATGACTACCTTTATTCTTCCGCACAGCCTAAACTCTCCAAGGATGTTAGCTGCCTTTTTTTCCTTTCCCACACTGCTTCAGTAATGTTAAGTTCTGGGTTCCATGTGTGATAGTGTTCAACTGTGCGTTTTTCTATCCAGGTATATTTTTACAGCATTGGAAGTGGGTTTGGGATAATTATCGGGCTGAAAAATGATTGGCCATTAGCCAATTGCTTTCCAGGCACTTTTGATATTGCAAGCCAGATCAAAATCAGACAGTGTTTTCTGTATTCATAAGTTCATCAGGTTTGACAAGATCTCCAACACCACTGACTGAAATTCAGTACCAAACCATCACAGATGGCTTTATTGTTCAGTGTAACAAGTATTCCAAACAAACTGCCAATGCAGTAAAAACATACCTAATTATAAAAAAAACCACAATGAAACGTTACCAGTCATGTATTGGCCTCCCCAGTGCTAAGATCTCAATGTAATTGAATCAGTGTGGGGTCATCTTAGCAGAGAACAGAGAAAAAGCAGCCACTATCTCAAAAGGATCTTTGGAATGTCCTTCAAGAATCAAGGAGAACTATTCCTGAAGACAACTTAAAGGAATGACAAAAAGAAAGCGTGCCTAAGAGAGTTCAGGCTGTGCTGAAGAATAAAGGTGAATAAAGTTTGTTACAACTGAACAAATTTGAGTTTTTTTTCTTTTATATTGTATTTCCCAGCAATTTCCCATTTTCCTATCAAAATATAAAGAAATAAGGTGTGGCTCAAGATTTTTGCACAGTATTTATGTAAAGAGTTTGCATGGTTAGGCAAGAAAACCCCTTTCCTCCAGAGAAAAAATACAGTTAATTTACCAAGGGAAAAGCTTTGGCTGTTCCTTTCTGTCTGTGCAGTGGTGGAGTATAAAACTGCTGCCACACTGCTTCATGCCTGGGGACTTTTACACAAGGTGGAGTTTACTAAACTGCCAGCAATTTTATTTATTGGATACTTTACTATATTTGTCTTTGTGGGGGCATTGCTGACAGAAAGCAAAAAAGGCTTGAAAATGAAATTAAGTCAGTGAGTAAGCTTGCCTGTGTCTGTTTGTGAAAAAGAGAAAACAAGCCATTTAAGTCACACTTTTGATTTTCTACTAAAGCCCATTTCTGCTTAAAAAAAAAAAAAACTCTCACAGAAACAAAGACACACAGTATAGTTTTTGAATTGAATTTTATTTATATAGAAAATAAAGAAAGTGTACTTTATTGATCCCCGTGGGGAAATTCCTCTCTGCATTTAACCCATTCATTCAGTGAAGCAGTGGGCAGCCATTGTAGGGATGGTACCTTGCTCAGGGGTACCTCAGGGTAGCTGTTCAGGGGAATTGAACCCCCGACCTTCCGATCATGGGGCCACCACTCTACCTACTGAGCTATCCCTGCCCACAGTTACCACAGGACACTGAGCTGCATCAAGGTGTGCCATGCTCTCCAAGCTAGGCCCACCCTTAGACAACCACAACAAGAACAATGGGACTATATCAGAAACTGAGTGACTCTTATATGCCCCATCTCCAGCATTGCCTTCAATTCTTTGAGAACCATTTTGCTTTGGTGTTTTTGCAGCCTATAGGGTTGTAACTGAACTGACAGCCTTGGGAAAGTTACCAAAATATACTTTATGAGGTTAGTGCAACCTGGCCCCAGGAAAAACGCATCAGATATAGCTCAGTTGCAACTTAGCTATATATGCACTCTCAGCCGGTGAGAGATGGTTATCACAGGGAAGCACGTTCACCTAGCTCACCAGAGACACAAGCTTCGCCTTCTTCCATGCTTTTAGGAAGTTGAAGTGGTAAATCTAAGTTGCTCTGCCTCTGTCAGTTCACACAACTTCATAATAAACAATCCCCACTTGGGAATATGTGTGACCTAAATAGGCTCTTGTCTATTTATGTAGAGCAGAATAAGTTCATTTGAATTGACTTGGTCCCCTGTAATAAAGCTCTTACCTTGTGTAAGTTCATAATAATACACTTGACTGGGACTTCCATGAGGGTTAGGAGGTGTCGAGGTGATTTTGGCATAGACACTGGATTAACCAGCTGGCATTCAGGACAGGATAGGCAACACTAGCACAAATGCTAGTGTTGCACTAGCACAAATGCCAGTAAAATCAGGCCTATTCTTTTCATAGTTTACAGGCCAGGTATGGGTTTGTAATGGGCTGCCTGAAAAGCCATTTCCCAGCAGCTCTTCACCACCAGCAACTGGTGTTCTCTTCACCAACACAAGTGTCCCTCTCTACAATATCACATGACCTCACATCAGCATTCAGAGCACACCGTCAGATATTGCCCCACTAACTTATTATTCTGTCCAATCTGTACTTAGAATCAGTGGATGCATACTGTAAGGCATAGTTGTAGTCATTGTTTTGCACTTATATTTAATTTAAGTGGTACTACATTTGCACATTCCCATTCACACACTTAATACTCACCCACCATGCTTCAACCAAATTCCCGAGGCAAACCCGATTCTGGTTGATTTTGGACTGTGTATGGCCCTATAACCATAGCCTACGGTATACCACCTCGGGTCCTTACTGGAATCGTGTATGACCCTCATAGGTTGGGGGGAAGATGACAGAGGCCTGGAGAAGGAGACATCCTGGCCCCTTAAGTACCTGCCTTAACCTGGCTCCTAAATACGAGGACTCTTATTTAGGAGGTACCAGGGCTGCCCACTTCTCCAGCACTCTTCCACTGATATCTGAAAAAAATAACCAAAAAATAACCTTTAACCTTCCGAATTAGTCCAGAAACCAGTGGGTGACATCTTCATTGGCTAAATTAATTTTTCACAAAACATACATCATACGTCTGTATAACCTGTTGGGGTCTTCACTGGTTGTCTGGAAACTTTATAGCAACAACATTACCAAAAAGGTTATTAAAATTAGTGATGTGTTACTGAAGCACACACATTGTAGCTACATTTTAATTTAAAAAAGAAGTACAAACTCTAAACCCTTAAGATATTCGGGTTTAAAGCGTAACTTTACTAAATCAGAAAATCTATTCCGATATTCAAATATACGCCTCCAGCTTTGATCAGAGAAAGAGATAAATCCTTTTTTATATCTTAGCTAATTTTGGCAGATTCAGAATTCAAACATATTCTCTCCTTTTGGCCAAATGTAAAAAAAACAAAAACAAAAAAAAAACAAACCCACACACAGCAATAAAAAGTTCTCAAGGAGGAGTGCTCAACCTTTGTGACTTTGTCTCTTCAGGTATTCCCTTTCTAGCATCCCTAACACAGTTTGAATCCGTTATTGTTGCCTGCCCCACATGAAGGCTCACTTCATACCTGATAAAATTCTCCATTCCTCATTGTGCCTTCAGGTAACCTGGGCTCCAAGCTAGTAGAGTATAAGGAAGAAATGTATATCTCTTCAGACTGCGGAAAGACGTGGAGACAGGTACACATCCTCTCTCTTAATGCTTCTTTTATACTGCTTCACTCTTCCCATTCTGACCTCACCATTTCAGCTTTCCACTGAGGAGAATCTGAGAGGATAAAAAAGTATATTATATCTATCATTTCAAATTGTTTATTAGCCTTTGACTGCCATGCCTTTTGTTATTTCTAAACATGTTGCTTTTGAAAGGTGTTTGAGGAGGAGCATCATATCCTGTATCTGGACCACGGTGGTGTCATCGTTGCCATCAAAGATACCTCGATTCCCCTCAAGATACTCAAGTAAGATTACAGACAAAGACAGTAATGCTTACTCCTTGCTGCTGCTATAAGACATTGTTTAATGGAGTGTGATTTTTTTCATGATTGGCTTCTTATTAAAGCCTTTTAGTGTCACCAAAATCAGTTATAATCAATATAATGAAAGTTAATGGAATGATTTATTCTGAAATTCACTGGTAGCAGTGATCATCCGTTAGAAGCCTGTGACAGTCAATCAATAAGTATGCTTTTAATTGTAGCCCTAGTTTTATATGCATGACTGACAAAATGGAAAAAAACGAAGTAATCAAGGAGATGTTAAATCAACGGGAGACAAAAGTAAAAATGAGTAACAGTAAAGAAACACTCACTCCAATGTAGAGTCAGTCAGTGGATGTTCAAAATGCCATGCGATCATTGTTATGCAGACGTTGAATTGAGATGTTTATACCGTTTTTGCAAATGTAACAACCCCTGCAAAGTATTATGTTTTGGGTGCATTTCTTATATAAATGTTGCTTAGTATAATTGCATACTTGTAGATTTTGAAAAAGTTTCGATTTCTGGTACGGTACCTTGAATTTTTTAAAAACGATTCTCTCTCCTTCCCCTTAGTCCACAAATACAGTTTCTACCTCAGCAAGATAATATCTCACTGACCTTAATAAATAAGGATCAAATAATGAGGGCGCATAGATAAGACAGTGCTCAGGAAAAAAAAGAAAAAAGAAAAGCATTTATCACAAATTTAAATCAAATGACTTTTCGGATAGGAACAGAGTCCTTGACATTCTTCCCTCACTTTGGCTTGGGTAAAAAGGGAACTTCTTAAGTAATAGAAGTGTGAATGTTCATTATTACCACTTTATTATGTAAAATCAAAATAATGTAATCTGATATTTCTTACTTCCAAGACTCACTCCTTTTGTATAGTTTGTTCTGGAGTCAGAAATGAATTCCATGACCCCCCCAAAATTCTCACTTTCACGTCTATGTTATAGCACTAAGAGTGAGAGCCACACACTAAACATTATTGTTCAATTTTCCAATTTTAAGTTTTATTCGTATGGTGCCAAATCAAAAACACAGTCACCTCAAGGATGCCTTATATTGTAACATAAAGACCCTATAATAATAATAATAATAATAATAACAATAACAACAACAACAACAACAACAATAATAATAATAATAATAATAATAATAATAATAGGAACAACCTCACAGGGAAATATTGAAATACTTTAAGGTGAAGAGGGTAGAGAGGACATAATAAATATGAAGTTTTCTTTGTCAGAATTAAACACGTCATTAAAGAAATCTGGGAAAACAACTCTTGGCAAAGATCAAATCAGTTATTGCATATTAAATAATTCATAAGTCAGTATAATTAGTCCAGTTTTATTTACTATCATGATCAATTATATTTTTTAGCAATACAGTCCATGGGTATCTCGCTATTTGCAGATGATGGGATTATTTGGAAGAAGGGAAGAAATAAAGAATTCATTAAAGCAACATTGCAAGAGGCTTTATGCAATTTAGAGTCTTGGGCATTAGCATGGGGATTTAGATTTTCATCATCCAAAAAAAGTTGTGGTCTTTCAAATAAGAAATCAAATCTTCATATTAATGCTAAATTATATGAGGACACTATAGAAAAGTATAAACTTACATGGAAAATGCATGCAAATAAATAACAAAAGGGTAAAAGGATTTTAAATATATTAAGATCCTGGAGGGGCAGAGATTCCACCACGGATCCTTGGACAAGTTACTGACTAACATTTGCTTGAAAAGGGAGACAGACAGTAAAGAGGTGGGTAAATACATGGAAAGAGAATATTTGGAATATATCAAGATCATTACAGATGCTTCTGAAATGCTCGAAAGTAGAGTAGGTATATCCTTTGTTATTCCAGATCAAAATATTGTGGAAAATAAAGGAATAACAGACAATTTAGCAGTTTATACAGGAGAACTAATTCTAATTCTGATGGCATTAGATTTGGAAGCTAGAGTGAGGAAGGTTTTAGTATGTTCAGACTCAAGTAGCGCTTTAACACGTATTCATATATGCAGTCAGAGCCAAGACCAGACATTGCATTAGAAAAAACTCATTCAAGTTTCAGGATAAAAAGAAATGGTACAGTGGTCAAGTTAATGTGGGTTCCTGCACATATTGATACAGAAAGAAACAGGTTGGCTGATAAATTTGCAAATGTTCAGCAAATAAAAATGTGTTAGATTTTAATGTAAGAATGAGCAAAACTGATGTTAAGTTGCATATTAAAAACAAATGCCAAGAAAAATGGGACAGGGAAGTAAGGGCTACATATTATTACAATATTCAAAAGAAAGAAGGTGATTTTATAATATGTCATAGAATAAATAAAAACAAGAGGATGTTATATCACGGATGAAAGTTGGCCATACAGGATTAAATGGCACATGTAAAATAGTTAGCAAACATGCTTCAGGTTATTGGGATTATTGCAGATGAATTTCAACAGAGCATATGTTTTCTTAGATGGTAATAAATACTGCCATGAGAGAGGTGTTAGTCAGAAACCCTCACAAGAACAAGAATAAGATAAGGATGAGAGTATTACCTCAAAGAGCCTAAGGGGATACAGTTTTTGTTGATATTTTGTGGAAAGAAAGGGGAATTTTAAAAAGAATATAGTGGTGGTGCGGTAGATTGTAATCCATTCGTGATCAAGAAGGTGGCAGTAATGCATCCAAAAGGGGTTTAACACCCGCCATTAAAACAGAAGAAGAAGAAGAAAACGAAGGAGGGGGAGGAGAAGAAGAAGGAGGTCCGCACCGGATTGTAAAAGAAAAAGACATGGCGCTCAAAACTCATAACTGTAGAGACAAAGAGCAAGACACGGGAACGAGAGAGGCCACAGCTGCTATGATGGCCAAATGAAGCTTTGTGCAGCTTGTAAAAAGCTTCATTACGTGAAGCTTTTCAACACAGTCCTCTCTGGTGACACCTGCTGGGCAAAAAGGTGAAGAGCAGCTCGAATCTACAAATTACAGTTTTTCTCAGTCGCTTTGGTGCGTTTCTCAGATCAGAATTGAAATTCTCATAACTATTAGTTCAACCTCCACAACACTCAGTCATTTGTGCACATCATAGTAGCAATTTCTCCTC